GCCTTGGGAGACGGCGCGGCCAGCCGGGGGGGGGGGGGGGCGGCGCGCAAGCCAGCTGGGCGCTGCTGCCTGCTGCTTACTGGCAGTGCCGAGCCACTACGCCTCTTCACCGGCCCGGCTGGGCGTCGGCCCGGGTGTGCTTCCCTGCGCCGGCGCCGCTTGCGCAGCCGCTGGCACAGCAGGCGTCCCGTTGGACGCGCCACCTTGCGAAACCTGTCCTTGTCGCTCAAGTGATTGATGAGTGGCCCGGCTGTTCCGCCGCGCCACGCGCTTTGCTACTTCATCACTACCAAGATGTGAGCGGCTGGTGGGCACCATGGGGGGAGGCATGGACCAGGCCATCAGCTTGCTGGCGCAGGTGGGCGGTGCGCGTCCCGCGGGCGCCGCTCACTGCGGCGGGGCGGCGGGCCGCGCCACGGAGGGGCACGCGCGCAGCACGCGCAAGGCCGCTGCGTGCGGGTGCCTGTCGGGCCCAGGCCGGGCTGCGCCGCACCGCACCTGCCCTCTTCCAGCTGCAATATCACTTCATGTCATGCCGCATCAGCATCAGGGCTGCCCCTTGCTGCTGACACAGCGTGATGTCATGTGATGTCATGCGCGTCCGTCTGGACGGCCATTTATATACTCAGGGCCCACTTGACACTGCCATTGACGTATTCCGCCCCACTGTCAGCCGGGCAGGGCGATGCTCATTGACTGGAGCCCGCTGAGGGCGACGCCAGTGGCGCTGCCCCCAGGGGCGGCCTTCGTCGTCGCCAACAGCCTGGCCCCCTCACTCAAGGCGGAGACAGCAGACCGGCGGTGCGGGGGCCTGTGTCCTGCAGAGGAAGGGAACCAGCGGCTGCTGGCACAGCAGGGGCTGCTGCGGCACGCGGCGCAGCCCGCGGGGTGCTGGGGCCGCCAGTTGCCCGCACACACAGATGGCGACGAGCGATGCATGCCCCTCTCAACCGCTTGGCTCCTTGGCATCAGCGCGCCCCATATAGCGCAGCGGCGAAGTTACGACACTCTACGGCGGTGCCCTGGAAAGGCGACCGCCGCCTGACGCGCAGCTGTGACCCTGAATTCAGGCAGCCCTCTGAACCCCGGCACCTGCCATGCAGCTACAACCTCCGGGTGGTCGAGTGCCGCTTGGCGGCGGCGCTGGTGGCGAGGAAGCTGGGGGCCGCGCCCGAGGCCGCCGCCGCCGTGCGCACTCTGAGGGAGGTGGAGCCGGCGATCGTGGCGGCCCACGGAGCCGGACTGGCGGGGCAGGTGTGTGGGTGCGCCTGCGCGTGCGTGCGTGTGTGTGAGTGTGAGTTGGGAGAGAGAGAGAGGGTGTGTGTGTGTGTGTGTGTGTGTGTGGTGTTGATGCGTGCGTGCGTTCTTGCGCGCGTGCTTTGCTTGGTTTTGTTGATTGCTTGTGTTGGGATCCCCTGCCGCTTCGGGCCAATGCAGCAACTGCATGGCAGGCAGCAGGGCAGTGGTGGCGCCCCTGGCACACAGCAATGGCGCTCGGGTGTGTCCCTGGAGGTTTCCCACAACTACACCCCTCGCAAGGGGCAGCCGGCCGCTCACTGAGCAGCTCGCGAGACGGCCGGTGGCCTCGCACGGCTGCGCTTTTGCGCCCGTTTGGCTGGCACGGGCTGAACCCCACTGCCCCGGCGCCCCTGCAACGCCGCTTCGATCTTTTCCTGACCTCAGTTGGCGGCTGTCGAGGCGCTGCTGCGGGAGGGAAGCTACTCCCAGGGGCAGGTGGGCTGGCTGTTGTCAGCTGCTGGCGTTTGATTCCCCCAGCTTTGCATGCTGGACTGAGAAGCAGCATCGAAGGTGCGAGTGGGCAAAGCGTGACACATCCACAGTACGCGTGTATGATGTGGGGTGTTGCACACAGGCCCAGAATCCCAGCTATAGAAATGCCGGCGAAATTCTGGGATGATGGCCTGCGTGAGAGGGGGAGGTTGACTGTCGCACTGCCAAGAAGCTCATCAACATGTTTTCCTCTTAGCAACAGGGGGAATTTCTCGCGCCCT